GGTACCTAATTGGGACGTTCTGGTCTCCAAGCGATAAATGCAGCAAAATACTGCAAAGTTGTGGTTTCCACTGAGGGATAAAAGAGAATCTAACTGCCAAGAAGTGTGCTAGAGCCTTTACTTTCAAGTTCAAGACTTGTTAAGGACACTACTAGGTTTGTTTGCCCATTTCCATACCTGGACTATATCATTACTAAGAAAAGCAGTAAAGTAGTTTTAGAGCATTTTGAATTTACTTTAAAATCTTACCATCTCGTATTCCATCTGTGACAGTTCCCTAAAATGTTCTTTTCCAAAAACCAACAGTCGAGCACGTCCAGTGATGGGTGTCTCTTCCAAGTGAGTAAAATAAAACACAATAAATAAAATTCCTAGGCTACTGACACTCAGGAGTATCTTCCATTTATTTTTCCTTGCACTTTCCTTGAAGAGTTCTCGTTTGTTAGGAGGAAGTGACTTCCACCACTTTCTTATTCTCCTGTAAATTAAAAACACTGTCAACCTAGGCTGTAATTAAACAGGTGTTTGTTATTGTCTGCCCTTGCTCAATTCCATACTACATTTGCATCTCATGGGAGAGTATATGAAAAAAGCTCCTCAGTATCTCGCTCTATCTCTTTTTATCATGTGTTAGAATGAGAGGAGCAAAAAAAAAAAATCTAACACTTCTGATAATAGAAATAAATTTCTTAACATAAACTATCATTTTCATTCCTTTTCCATTCACTTGTAAAACAAGTCACTTTTAGCAAAATATTTCTCTAAATTCTAAGTTTTCAGGACTGCAGTTCAGTTTGAATTTGAAAAAAAAAAAAAAGAAGTTTTGCTTTAAAGACGTTGCCATAACAACTGGTATGAGATTAGTGAATATTGGCTTATAGTTTCACCTGCTTCCACACAAAGTTATTTTGAGCTCCAAAACTACTCAATTTACCTTCAGATTACATTTGCAATTCTGGTTTTGTAATACACGCAGGACAACAAACAGGAATTTTGTGTCTAATTAAACTGGCCTTGCATACCAGAGTGCCCATGCTTGTGACAAACGCAAGGCTTTACTGCTAAAAATGTGGATTATTCACACACACACACACACAAAAAAAAAAAAAACATCCCTGAGCTCCCAATATCGAGTGACATGGGACCACATGGAATTCACAAGACTGCAAATGTCCTGGGCAGCACATTCCCCCTCTTTCAAAGCACTGTCCACAGTGCTTTGAAAGCACTGTGTGGAGCTAGGAGAGGGCAAGGATATCCAACTCAGGTCAGTCATCTCAGTCCTGATATGTGGGGAAACTGCAACACTAACTGCATATTTCTGTAAGCAGCTAAGTCTGGCTGCTACCCCACAAGATACTGCTGTGCTGTTGAGAATTCAGAATTCCTGAAATTCCAAGGTAATTTTCAAACTTTTCTTCTTAAATTTCAAGCCCTTTCTCAAGGATAAAGGAAACTACCAAAGGTAGTTCTCATAAGCTCAAAGCAATTTTAGCTAGAGATTGGTAAAGGCTGGTTCCATGGAATAAAATAAAATGTACAAGTCAAGCCTCCTGCCCTGCAAAGATTTACACTAAAACTCAAACAGAACACTTCATGCGCACATATTCTCAATCAGCAATAATGAGCATATGCACAAGTCTCTGCACAATGTCTGAGGAGAAGACAGTATTTTACCTGCCAAGAATGATGGCAAATAATTTCTGAGCTGGTTTAATGAGAATCCAGAAAAGAGGAGCCGGAGCAGCCTTAAACGATGGTGATATGTGAAAAAACCTGATGACTGGAATGTTCCAAGCAGAAAAACGATTTGGGAGTTGCCCAAGGGAACCGATTTGGAGGAATGGGATCTTCTCCACCAGTGGCTGAGAAGACAGGAAGCAAGATCGTGTAGAACCATGGTGTGCTTTCTTGCATACTTCTGTATTTACAACATCTAGAAGACACCTCTGTCCTTTACCAGTTGAGTTTCCATAGCAGTTAGGGCTTCCAGTCAACTTCCAGTTCCCAGTATTTCTACTCAAATTTAGTCTTTGGCACCTATCTAGTTTACAACTGACTTGACTTGCACATCTTGCATAAAACCCACAGAGATTACTGCACTTGCCCCATTTAGTCAAAGAGGCCAAATGAAAGAAAACACAGTTCCTGCCAGGAAGCCTTAGGCCGCGGATGACATTCATACCCTCTTCCGTTGAGTTACCCTGAAACGAAACAAAAATAGCAAAGACAGATTAAGGAAAACCACCCGACTGGGAAACCATGAAACATCGTTACATCTGAACAGATAACACGTGTCCCTTCAACTACAGTTGCAAAGAAAGACAGACAAACAGACAGAAAGGACAGACAGACAGAAAGGACAGACAGAAAGGACAGACAGAAAGGACAGACAGAAAGAAAAAGAAAAAGAAAAAGTCAGTGACAACTGCATCCTGCAGCAGATTTAAGGTAGGAAAAGTAAATCTATTTTACATTTTGTAACTGGAAACTAAATAAAGTGTTCTTTCTTCCCCTTTTATCACCAAGGTACAGGGAAAGCAGGAGCCCGTTAGCGAAGGGACAGCAGCGCCCTCACACTCGGCTCCCTGCCACAGGAGCTCCTCACACACACCCGGGAACGGCGGGACGTTATTTGGCGCCTTGCTCACCGACCCC